CAATCTCCTCATGTACAATTATCTTCCTCTGAAAACCTGTTGGAGGGTCAGATATGGGTTAGCTCCAACTCTGTGGTGTGCAACAGCAACAACATCCATCCATTTAACTAATCATTCTCTATTTTGTTGCTGTGTGATGCAGAGTTGGAATTGATCCATAGTTGACCCTCCAGTGGGTTTTCAGAATCAGCCAATCGCATGGAGGAGCTTGCTCATCTTTCTCCAGTGGAGCAGCTGGTGGATTTGAACTGTGTGCCTTTGGGGTAGCAGTTCTGCTTCTTACCCTTAGGCCACCAGAGTTCCTGTCTTTATATCTTCTATATAATTTGTTATGTTCTGCTACCTATACCAAAAGGAATTGACTGACAGAAGAATTTTATGAAACAATATATGATCAAGAGACAATGGTGATGAAGGAAGAAGTTCAAGCTGCTCTGAAGGAATTGGCAAAAAACCTCACAAAAAAACAAAGCCCCAGGAATTAATGAAATACCAGTTGACATATTTCAGCAAACAGATACTACCCTGGACATGCTCACCAGGCTGTGCCAGGAAATCTGGAGGACAACTGTCTGGACAACTGACTGAAAGAGATCTATATTTATTCCCATTCCAAAATAACATAAACCAAAAAAGTGTGGAAATTACAAACAATATCACTTATATCACACACAAGATCCTACTGAAGATTATAAAAAAACCTACTAGAACAGTTCATCAGCAGAGAACTATCAGATATGCAAGCTGGGTTTAGAAGAGGCATTGGCACTCGGGACATCATAGTCAATTTTAGGTGGATCTTGGCTGAAAGCAGAGGACTGTCTATCTGTGTTTCATTGACTATGCAAAGGCATTTGATTGTGTGAATCACAACAAGTTGAGAAGAATGGCTAACCAGAACACTTAACTGTGCTTATGGGAAAAACCTCTTCTGGGACCAGGAAGCAGTTGTCAGAACAGAGCAAGAAAACACTGCATGGTTCAGGATCAGGAATGGTGTGCATTAGGGAGGCATCCTATCTCTCTACCTTTTCAATCTTTATGTGGTACAGATCATTTGAGAGGCTGGACTTTCTGAGGAGGAATGTAGCATTAGGATTGGAGAATGACTCATCAATAACCTGCATCATGCAGATGACATAACCTTGCTTGCTGAAACTGAAGAGGACATGAGGTCTTTGCTGCAAAAGGTCAAGAACTGTAGTCTTTAATATGGATTGAAGCTCAACATCAAGAAAACAAAGATTCTCACCACTGGGAAAATTAGCAACTTCATGATAGAAGGAGAAGAGGTTGAGATTGTTAACAACTTCAACTTGCTTGGTTCCACAATCAGCACTCTTGGCACCAGCAATCAGGAAATCAAAACATGAACTGCATTGGGAAAGTCTGCTCTCAGATACCTCTCTAGAGTACTGAAGAGCAGTGATGTC